CTTGATCCAGTCTCCAGTTGATGGGCATTTGGGCTGTTTCCAAGTTTTAGCTATCACAAACTGTGCTGCTATGAACATGGGCGCACATATATCACTATGGTATGATTCTTTTAATTCTTTGAGGATCCCCAGCAGTGGAATAGCAGGGTCAAATGGAACTTCCAGTCCTAGTTCTTTGAGCTATCTCCATACTGATTTCTACAGTGGTTGCACCAGTCTACACTCCCATCAGCAGTGTAACAGGGTTCCTCTTTCCCCACAGCCCCACCAGCATTTGTTATTGGTTGATTTCATGATAGTACCTGTCTTTTTTGCAGTGATTCTGGTGAAAATTTTTGATGTTCCATAAATATGTCAATCAAATTTTCTATTATATATGCAGCATGGAAATAATATAGGACTCATGACAGCGTCTACTTTTTTTTTTTTTTTTTTGGTACCGGGGATCGAAGTCAGGTCCTTGCACTTGCACAACCGGCAGCAAAACCACTATGCTAAATCCCCGGCCAGGCAGTGCCTACTTTTGTGGTCCTCTTGAAGTTTTCCTCAAGCAGAGACACACCTATGAAAAATCATGGATGACATATCTGGGCATTTTCTGCCCAGATTTGGTCTACAACCCTGATAATTTGACCACTGGAGAATAAGAAAATGATTCAAAGAAATCTAGATAAATTTTTGTCATTAGCTTCACATCCCTGGAACATTCCCATAATCCTTGTTAGAATTTGTTAGGAAATGAAAGTTCCCATTTTAGTAAGTTTTTTTTAACAGTCATAAACTTTTATTTAAAGTTCAGATAATGAAAGAATTCTAGCTTGAGTGGTATCTGGAGGGGGCACACTCTGATCAAGAACTACAGACTGATAGGCAACCCACTTTCTGGTCCTCCTTCTGTCTCTCTTAGGCAGAAGCTTTCTTTCTCCTAACAAATTTTTCCTACTCGTAACCTCCATTGTTCCTAGAATTCATTCTTTGATTTTAGAAAACACAAACTTGTGTTTCGGATATCTAGTAGGTTTGGGAGTTACATCTCTTCCCTCTATATCATCTTGGAGGTCCTGCACTGAGATTACTGGTCGGAGCATGTGAACAAGCTGGACTATATTCCTGAGGGACAAGAGACCTCATGGAGAGGAAGCATTAACCATCTAAATGTTCCAGCCGTCCTTGCCCTACCAGCTTGAACTCAGATGTGAGAATGAGGTCTTCATTCACTTGACCTGGAAAATAGCTACACCATAATAACAAACCAGTTGACCCACAGAAATGTGCAAAATGATAAATGTTTATTGTTCTAAGCCCTCGGTTTTTGGGTGATTTTTTATGGAGCAAAAAATAATAGACACATAAATCAATGTTATGATAGTCACCTGGTATTTGAAGGCACAGGTACTTTTGGGATGTTATTGCATTGCTATCAAATGATATAAACTGGCAAATAATGTTTATCCTAATTATGACATAAAATAATATTTTGATTTGATACAGTACTATTTCTGATAGACCAAATTGTGTACATCAGTTTTAGAAGTTCAAAGCCCAAAATCCTCTTGGGCTCTTTAGTATGTATTTTTTTCTATTTTTTCTAATCAAATATATGTGAACTTTTGTGCCCAGTGTGGCTAACTCATGAATTCTCTTTACCATATTTCATCAGAGCCTCTTGCAGAATACAGCTATTTATGTCAAGAAGGACATCCAGATTCAAATGTTTTGAACACTTGATAGATGCACAATGTAAAACCATGTTTCTATTTTTCCCATCTTGTATGATTTTTAAAAATGTTTTAAGTCCATCCACAGTAATGCAACAGAGAAAAA